GTTATTCCAGGGATAATCCACTGACAACCCAGCAGTGCTTGTATTAACCCCTGAAGCTTTTCAGGGAAAACTGTTCTCTTACATGCTCTGTATGCCTATTTCATTTTACCTCCATGGGTATTCCCATAAAAACACTTGCTCTGGTTCAGTTTAGCTGCCTCACTCCTTGATGCTGCCCTCCAGGCCTGCCACACCCCACAGCTCTGCCACTGCGCAGTGGTGACGACAGATTATGTCAAACAAGGCTCTGAAGCACAGTAATAGGAATCCTTGTACCTTAGTGAGCATCCCTGAAGACCCCCTGCTTTGGTTTCCTATCCAAACCACTCTGCAGACGTCAGATCTATCTGCTCCTAGGTAGGAAAGGCAACTCCTGGGAAAGCCTCAGTGTGCACTGAACCCAGCGATGAATCCAGCAGAGCAGTTTAAGCTCCATCCACGGTAAGAAAGGAAGCCCAGGATCAAGTGGTTTGGAAGCTGGGGAGAAGTACAGCTTCTCTACTGCTACCTCTGAATAAAGACAAGAATGTAAAATGAAACAGAGTTTCACTATTTCCTGAGAGCATATGGGTCTTGTGCTAGCTTTTCCTTGCTTTCTCTCTCTGGTATCATTTTCATCATTTCTTGTCCTGAAAAACTATATAATTGCTTCACCCCAGGGTATAAAGAACACTGAAACCAACGCATCTCTAAAACCAATATTATCAAATTTCCTTTCATGGTACTTTACCAGCTTTAGTACCTCCTTTCTGCATTGCAGGGAACTTGAAAATGCTCTTATACACAGCCTTTCACCTTTTGATTGTTCGCTCATGTTCTGCCCAGGATTTAAGTTGCAAAATATGACTAGTTTAGTTGTGTCATTTCAGATAACATCATGTACAAGGCGCAGACAGAAGCTGTTACCAACTAGAATTGATGCTGCCAAACAGAACTGCTGCATTACTGTGTGGTGGGTCTTTCTACCTGCTCCAGCATTAGAGAGATAACAGAGATAGGAGACATTCCACTTGACCTCCCCATCAGCTAGCTGGATCATTGTGTGCAGAAGATACCAGCCCAAACCTTTTCCTGACTAGTCTAGTCTTGGGCTCTGAAGCATGGGTTGCTTTGTGAGTTTTTCTCACCAAGCTCAACTGTTTCTCATCTTTCCCATGCTCATGGAACTGGGAGGGATCAGGTCTCCCAGAAGGGGACTCATTCTCTTTGCCAGTTCATCCCATCATTGTTGTCTACACACCAGGCCTGAGGGAAAAACTTGCTTTTAGTTCCCTGACAAGAGCTCCAAGCTCCACACTGCACACTCCACCGTGATCGTGGCTCTGCCACGGTATGTACCATGAGGCACTCGTTCAAGAGTAAGCATGCACGGATGCTATTTGGGATGTTACAATAAAGAACGATAAGGCATATAGTTTGGAAATATTATTCAGGAACCATTATTCCTGCAATAAAGAGCCAGTTTTCACTTGCTCCCTTCAATTCTGCTCTCTTTCCAGCAGGGACACTGGGTGAAAAACAATATATGAGCACAAATGAAAAAATAGTCTTATTAAAAAAAAATTAAAAATCACCCATACTGTTTGCCAAATCTCCCCCCTACTGGTTTAAAGCCATTCCCCCTTGTCCTATCCCTACATGTTCTTGCAAAAACTCCCTTTCTGACTTTCTTGTAGCCCCTTTAGGCACTGGAAGCTGCTCTAAGGTCTCCCTGGAGCCTTCTCCTGGCTGAACAACCCCAACTCACTCAGGCTTCATCGGGGACTTAAAAGAGAAAAAGAGAGCAAGTAGATGTAAAAGCAAAGAACCATCTCTGACTCCTACTGATTTCTGAACTCTGGCATTTCCCCCCTCCCACCCATCCCACCCCCCCACCCCCCATCCTCAAGTCTACAACTTTGCATTCTTTTGCTGAAGTGAATAGATTTGGGTCAAAGAAGAATACTAGATCCTACTATTACAATCAGTGCCTCAAAGTAACACAGTTCTTCAGACCTTGCTGGTTGAGGTAAGGGACTAAAAGCAGAAGCAAAGAGCCACATCTCAGCCCCTCCAAGGCAGCTCAGCAGCCAGTGGAAAGGTACAGTTTCTCCACCCTAGAGTAGTGGTCAATCAGGACTCAGGATGATCAACTCTCACCCAGGATTCCTGGCTACTTTGCAAAATGGTGTCATGCATGCTCTGCTCTGTCACAAAACCACTTCTCTGCGCACAAAACTGTAATGACCAACACCCGGGCTTCACAAAACAGGCAGCAACTTTCACAGGCTATATGGAAGCCAGATGCCTGTTTAAACCCTCCTCCCCCAGCCAGAAGCTGCAAAAAGAGCAAGGAAAGTATTTTTTCTCTGTCCTCTATGGATATGGTTACCAAACAAGCCCTGCAGAGAAAGTAATGCTTACTTTTACCACTCTCTTGTAAATATCTCATTGTAAGGCATCATCTCTAGAGAAAACGTAGACCAGCCATGCTTTCAAACTGTACTTGAAGTAGTCAAAGCTGTAAAGTTATTTGATGCTTTCACAGTCAAACACTCCATGAGAAAACTAGGTTTTGGTGCCCTTGCGATTTAACCTCTACAAATACATATGCTTTGAGACACATGCTCTCCAAGTAAGCCCTTTGGGCATTCCAGGCAGTGCACCAGCACCTCAGAAAGTCTGCTATACGCATGCAGACCACTAGAAACGGGTAACAGCCAGTGGGACTTACTAGACTGGGAAGCACCTCAGCAACATGTCGGATCCAAGCTCCTAGCAGGCAGCACGAAGCACACCTCCAGCCAACAGATGGGTTCCTCTGCACCTTTCAAAGCAAAGCCTCCTACTGCTATCACTCGCTACCTCTCCTTGGAAGCACTGCTCGCTCTCACTGGTCACCATCTTCTTTACTGGTGGGGCAATTGGCTGTTCTGTTGTGGCAGGTGTTGCCTCGTTAGCCCCCTGCAGAAGCGGTTCTGGGTGGGGTTGTCAGGCTTTGGAGGAAGCCCCTGGCATTTATTTGTTTTCTCCTCCTTTTGCTGTTTTGGGGGTCTTTTTTAGAGTTTTGAGAGGGACAAACGTCCTCTCTCCTTTCCGTGTGTTCCAGGGGCACATTTGTGTCCTCTGCACCGTGGCCTGCAGGTCCCCCACAGCCTGGGCTTGGAGCCAGCAGCCCCGCTCCCTCTCAGCCACCTTGACGTCCCTCAGGCCTTTGCTGGCCTCCCGCACCTCAGCCCTCAGCAGCAGTGGATCCTCCGCCGAGGCTCACCGCCGGTCCTCAGCTCGTCCCTCTCTCCTCACGGGCGATACGAGGATGTTTTGTACCCGCTGCGGCCGCCCCTCAGCCTGGCCCGCGGCCTCGCTCTGAGGTAAACCCTCCCGTTCCCGCCCGAACCGCCGCGCTCCGCCTTACCCTCCTGGCACCGCCCACCATGAGGGAGCTGCCGCGGGCTCCGGGCCGAGGCCCGGCGGGGTTCTGTGGGGTCTTCGTGGCTCTTGGCCTCCTGAGCGTGAGGTTAGGGCAGTGCCCAGCTCAGAGCGTCCTTCGGACTTGCCCCGCAGATGTGGCGGTCAGACCGCATGGAGGATTGCTGCTGAGAGCTTGAGATCCTGCTGTTAGCCTCAGTGCTGCATGCTGCTGAAGGACCAACAACAGGGTGCCCAGAGGAGTGGTAAATGCCCCATCCCTGGCAGTGTTCAAGGCCAGGTTGGACACAGGGGCTTGGAGCAACCTGCTCTAGTGGAAGGTGTCCCTGCCCATGGCAGGTGGTTGGAACTGCATCATCTTAAGGTCCTTTCCAACCCAAACCATCCTATGGTTCTATGATACAACACAAGAATTAAAGTTGTATCAGGCTTTTTCCCCTTTTCAGAATACTTCAATGCCTCTCTATATATAATTTATATACATAAGGGGGCCTGTGCTACGTTTTCACACCTTGAGTAGCTGCAAGCGTTCATCTTGTTTTCCTGCAGCACGTGAAGAGTGGTGACTGCAAAACCCAATCTGCCCCCCTTTACTGCCCACTCTTGGACTGGCTTCAGCAGGGTGCCAAAGACCAAATGCCACTTGTGACCAAAGCACACGTCGTCTTGCTTAGCTTCATCCCGAAGGAATCCAGTTGATGTGCTCCAAGGGCACTCCACCATGTGAACTGAAGTAGTGTAAAAGCAGCCTACCAGGAGGTTCACATCAAGAGCAGCTTCCTGATCCAAACAAGCTGACTTGGTTTTTCTGTGTAATCAATCACAGATGTTCAGAGCATCGCAGCACTCCCTTGGCGTTTTGTTAGGTCAGGAGCCATAACTGCAGCAGTAACACTTCTGGAAAGGGCTTTGCTTTAAGACAAAAAATTATTTCCCAGCATTAGTAGCAAAAAATGTAATAAGGCTCCTTCCTAAATATCACTGTGGTTTTAGAGGGATTTATTTTATAAACACTATGAGAGTATTTTTCTGTAACACCAAAATACACATGATGCATAGATTTACTTTTTGTTTGTCTGCTTCGTAAAACAGATAACCTATCATCTAATCCCATCTGGTTACGATGGAGCAGCGTATTGCTGACTGATGCTCTACAGCACAAACACGGAGTTTTATGACACTGATTTGTGTGCACATGTGCTAAGATTCAAAGCCTGTATTACTGCAGGCTGTAGGTAAAACACTGTAGGCTGGGTGCAAAGCCCCTGGTGGAGTGCTGGAAAACACAGAGGCCAAAAAGTCAAGTCTAAACTAGGTAATAGGCTCCCTCATTACCTCTTAAGATCAAAATGTGAGTTTTACTTCAGACTTAGCAGAGGATATCATTACCACCAGACCTGGTTATTGGTACCATTCAAGACTGACCAAAGGTCACATATTGAAAGCATCAGAATCAGCTCCTGCAGCACCTTCAATTTTTATTGGAATTCACCCAACCAGTCCTAGGGAAGGTTTAACATTGTTGGGATATGAGATCATTATAGCCCAAGCTGGTGTGACAAGAGACCGTAACAGTGATGTTTCTGAAAAGGTGGATAGGGAAGCGGAGATTTATATTCCAAATAAGTCAGTGATAAAGGAGCTTGTTCTTATTCTTCTTAATAAGAAGCACAGAATTTCCTGTACTAAACCAAATTAGTAAAGAGGCTTCCATCTGGGAAACGGTGCTGTGCTTTATCAACATTGTTCTAACAACAGTCAAATCAAGTATTTAAAGTCAGAAACTTGTTTGAAGACTATCCGCAAAGCAAATGACACTTTTTATGTGCAACAGGACATAGTGTCCCTCAGGGCACAGTGTGTTGCAATAGTACTTCTGCCTCTTGGAGCATTTTTGCTACTGTCATGTATAGACAAGTTGCTATTTTTCTTATGAGACAGAATAAAAACACGTGATGCTGCCAAAAGAAATTTAAGATACTTCTTCTTAATGTGCCTTTGCTGACACTGAGAGCCACAAAAACATTTCTGCATCTCTGGATAGCATTCCTCCTGTGTACCCTCATAATTTTAGTTCTCAGCTCTTCTTTGCCTGTAAATAGTTTTGAAAGAGGGCTTCTGACATACAGATCTATTACTACTCACTTCAGGAATACAGTGCAGCAAAACTTACCATCCCTGACAGTAGTAAACATCTTGTGGATTGTCCCTGTGGAAAGAGGCATATGCCATTTACTAGTTAGTCAGTCTGGATGGAGGTTAAGCTATAAGAAAGCTGGGACAGTGTGCCTCTACCATCACTTGTTCTGCAGGAGGAAACAGTGACTGCCTTCTCTGATGATTTCTAGGAAGCAGAATTTCAGCCTCCAAAATGAGCAATGTCAACCTCCTACCACAAGGACTAAATCAACACCAAGGAGCAGGCTGTATAAAGGAGTTAAGTGTTGCGGTCTTAAGTGATACCACAGCTGTAGATGGGTGCAGATGGGCACTGGCATACACCTTAAAGGAATCTCTCCTAAATAAGCTTTGTCATACAAAGAGCAAAGCTGTTAGCAATTGCAGTGTCTCTCAAAGTGTGGAGGGTATCATATAGCTCATCTCTTGTCCTAATGTTTACTACATCTGTAAAGGGGGATATTATTACACTGTTAAAAAAGAAATTGGGTATTCCTGAAAGACTCCTTAATAAAAGGGGGGGGGAAAAAGCTTTTAAATCAACTGGCAAAAGTAAACCTGGTGCTTACTCCCTTTCAGACCCTGAAAGTTTGCTGAAAGAGGGATGGGATTTCTGTTTCATAAATGTATTAATAGAATACTTCTGTATTCTCGCATGTCCATGGACTGGATGTGGCTTTCTCTGAATTTGGCCCCAAATTTAACAGAATCCATGCATTTGTGGAGTTTATTACCCAGCATGGAGAGTTTGTTCTCTGTCTTCAGGGGTTGTTAGGTTGACAATCCCTTTCGGGAAGAGCCAATAATCTTTTAATCTCTTTGTGTACTTCAGCCCCAAACACCAACTCCAGTGCACACCCAGCTTTGGAAGATGAAGTCACCATTGGCATCTGGAGGTCTCATTCTGCTGGCAAGAGCTGGTGTGCAGCAACAGCTTTGCCCTTTGTGTCAACAAAGTCTTGGGGTACCTTCGTCAACAGCATTTGTACTTCAGACAAAAAGCAGCTGTTCAAGATCATCATGGTGACAAGTAACATAAGCTGCTCCCCTTATTTCTTTGTTTTTTAAGAGTTCTGTGGCCTTCCTTAACTCAGGGCCCCCATTAATAATTTAACACAGTTGGGAAGTTGCAAGTGAAACAACAGACAAATGAGGAATATTTTCACAGAATCTGTGTCTGTGAGCAAATCTCAGCAAGGGCTGAGGAGCTGATACATGCAGTAAAGTCAGGGAGACACACACCGATTACAGCAGGCTTTGTATCAGCCCCTTAATGCTTACCAGTATTGAAACAGTTACTCAAGAATGGATTTAAGGTACACGACTAAGTGCTACACAGAACAATTTTAACAACATTCACACACATCTGGAAGGAAGTAACATGTGCTTTGTGTTGCTTCAGGCCTGAGATGCTGCAAGCAAAAGCAGTCTGTCTTAAATACAAAAAAAAACCCCAAACCCAAAAACCCACCCCAAGCTTTTTCTCTGCAGTCTGAGCAAATGGTGTCCGTCAGCTTCTCAGTAACAGAAACCAGATGCAGAATGGCCATCCAACCCTCTGAGTTTGCCCCCAGTTTAGGCTGCCGAAATTACATTAAAAGAAACGTGTGGAATTGTTCAGAAATGATGTAATAGGCATCCAAACACAGATTGTAACTCTCTGTTACTGTTCTACCTGCTAATGCAATCATTCTTGGGTGGCTGTGGGGATGCATCAGACATAATAAAACACAGTAGAAATAGCTGTTTGCCTGAAATACTTCAGCAGCTGTTACAAACTTAGTGTCTTGAACTAAACAGTTAGATCATGTAAATAACAGAAACTGACTTTCTTGGCCTTTCTAGGGCTTTACGTCTTTGAAGAGAGCCTGACCCACTCCAGCAACAGCATGTAGCAGATAGAGCATTTGCTTTGGGTAGGAATGGTAACCAAAATTGTTACAAATACTTTAAGCCTAATAGGCAACATTGAGGTTTTCCCTTAAAATATATATAATAAACTTCTATTAAAAACAAGGTTTAAACTTTTAATCTTGATAGACTGGACTTTTGGGGGACCTGCCCTTTGAGCAAATGTCTGACTGCCTCTACCAACTCCATTAGAATGAATGCTGCCTCATGATCAGGAAGCTACAGTCAGTTCTCATTAAACATGTGAGATACAACAGCTTAAACAGAGCATCAGAAGCCAGTGAGGACAGGAAAACACCACTGTCCCAGTGAAAGGCAGAGCAGAGCTCTTTTATTAACGGGTTGTGATTCCCCATGGCCAAGGACATGTGGCCTTTGTCTAAGAGACAAATGAAGACAGAGAGGATGCCAAAATCAGCCCCAAAATGATTTCTTAGTGGTGGGTAGGCAACTGCTGTGTGAAAGACTAAGCAAAAAAGGAAAAAAACATTACTTACTGCAGTTATACAGCTCACAAGCTACTATCATTTGGATACTTTTGAGCCATCCATCCCTTTGTTCTCTTGGAAGTAGAGGACATGTATGACACAAAGACCTTTGGCTTGTTTTCTGCACAGAGAAGGTGCTGTGATTTTAAGGCACTTACACACTGCTGTCTCTGCCTGGGAAGACCTTAGTGTAACTAAGAACCACTACCTGTTGATTCTGCAACAAAAAAACCCTGAAGCCTGAGATGAAAGAAGCGCACCTATAAAATCTTTTGATCATCCAGTCCCATTTCTTCAGGGATAAGTAATGACCCTAATCTCATCTTTCTTTCATTGAAGAGGACGCATGGGAACAGTGTAGAATGCTTATCACTTCATGCTTCTAATACATTTGTGTGCAATTAGGTTTTATATATAAATTGAATTTTACTACCATAAAGTATTCAGTATTAATCATCTTTTTGTTGATGGCATCAGAGTGGGTTTGTTAAAATGTGGAAACAATCAACACATTGAGATAATCATACAGTTTTTGAAGCAGGTGGTCATTCTGCTGCAGAACACTGTACATTTTAAGGAGAGGAGAATAAACTTACAGCAACTTGGATTCAGTCTTGGCTCTTTCCATTGGGCTGCACATCACTGCTTCTCTGTGGTAACTGTGTTTATGAAATCCCAGCCAGCTCCCACTAACCTCCCGCCATCCACCTCCACTGCTCATTTAGCATTTATACATATCATGCATTTCTGTAATGAAAATAAATGAATTAAGATAGATTGAATTACCCTCTAGAAACAGGATCTACTTAAAAAGTAAACAAAAGATTATCATCAATTTCATGTTTGTAGTATAAACGCTCCAATGCAGTTAGCCAGACATGAAAAAGACTCAGTCCTACCATCCATTCTAAAGCTCCTTAATCACTATACCATATAAAAAAGGTAATTTTCTCAGGTTTGGGATATATCTGGACATTTCCCATAGGCTTTAATAGAACTAGACCTACATGAACATGAACTAAATCCTGTCTCCCTTCTGTGTCTTTAGTGAATCTAGGTACTTTCTGCTTATTGTATGTTATTAGTATTTTATAAACATTGAGGTTTAATGCCTTCTAGCTTTCATTGCTCTAAATACTTAAGACTGATTCTTTCCAAGAGATCTGCATAGCTTGAACACAGTGTGGGCTGGCATGAAAAATCACTTGATGAGCCTCTAGAGCCTGTGTTTAACTGCAGGTCTGACTGGCCAACTGTTAACAGCCTCACAGGGCCTGGAAAAGCTGCAAATGTGGACAAAGTCTACAAAGGAATCTCACTGATAGCTGTTTTCTGGCTTTTCTGCAGCAAAACTTGAACTCCTTTTATCATTGTAGTTTAACTTCATATTACTCGATTCATGAAGGGTCACAGATGCTGCTCTAAGCAGGTGATTTTATAGTGTGGCAGGGGAAAGGATATAGATCTGACTTAATGGGAGGTGATGAAGATTAAAATGGGCTTCAAAGGGGGAGTAAATGGAACAACCAGTGATCACAACTACTGGGCAAAAATGAAAGGCAGGCAGCAGGAAGTTACAGGGACAGCCTTCACAGGCTGCAGAGGCTCCTGAAATACATGCACATTTGCAGTTTTGATCCCACATTTCCCCACAGTTGTCTGTTCAACCTCTACTAAGGTACTCAAGGCAACAAAGCACCTTGCGATCTTAACTGCTGAAGGCATTTACCTCCCAAAAGCTTCTGCCTGAGAGAAAATACTTAAATGTCAAATTGCCAACAAGCAGCACTAAAGAAAAGCACTGGAGGTAGAAGGAGCCTTTTTTTACTTTTTCAGGAATATTGTTTTTCCAGTTTGAAATTCTGAATTTTTCAGTTTGGAAAAGAAGTTGCTGTGAATACCTCCCCCCATAATACCCACTAAATAACCTGAGTCTGCTTCTCCCCTAGAATTTCTGAGTGTGCCCTTATTCAGTAATGAGGCTGAGCCTGTTTCCCTGCTTCTCAGAAGTACTGCAGAGCGCAATGTTCATCTGTTCATTACACATCTTGGAGAAGCTTACACTTCTGGACTGCTGGTTGCACCAGTAATAATGCCTTATTGTGGCGAGAGTTCACTGTAAATGTCTATTAAGCGAGACATCTATTTAAGAGGACCAGAGTGCACGTCTCATGCCAGGGTGGGAGTTAAAATATAAAAGCTATTTGGCTACATTAATCGGGTTACAAGATCTATCAAGTCCTGATTTTGTCTCCATTTTGAAGAACCTTCATGACATGGCAGGCAAACATACCAGGTAAATGTAATGTGGCATCTGGTCTTCTGTCAAGGCAGGCAGGAGTGAGGGTTTTAGGCTTTGACATGTTGACCAGGCATGAAGAAAATGAGAAACTCTCTTGCTGCCCTGATTGAGTAACTTTGCCCATTCCTCATTTCAATTTATCAATGCAGAGAGAAGAGAGAAGCAGAGACAGTTCTGCTGCAGCTTTCCTATTCTTCATTCCTCTCAGATGAGATCTTCCATGCTTGGTCCCTCACCTGCAGAAATACAGTAATTGCCATGTACCTCAGAAGACCTCTGCCCTAGTCCTCTAGACTTAAATAAGCTTCTTCCCCAGCAATGTCATTGCCTCCTGACCTACAACCTGGAAACTTACACCCCAATACCATCTGGTTATTGAGAACCCCTTTTGTCAACACAGTAACGAAGGCCTCAGTACTGCCTGCTCTGCAGACATCCCTGGTTTGCCATATGCCAGGTTCAGGGGCTGTGAGATGAAACAGGGTTCTTCAGCATCTTAAAATAAGCTTGGAAGATCTGGCAAGACAAAGAACCAAACAAAGTCAAGGTCTCATCTCAAGTTGTGTTCTCTCCAAGTAGTTTATCCCAAGGGAAAGATGACTTATAGAGCTGTCCTGGCACCATGTCCTGTGCTTAGTCTTCTAGTTATCAGTAGCTCATTTTCATTATGTTTATTTTTTCCATGAAGTCATTGTCTGTATCTAAATAAAGTGGGTTTAGATTATATAAGGAAATTCCAATGTCTTCACTTCTCTCACACAAAGCTCAACATAACAATCCCATGTCTATTCCTGTAAACCTTAACAGAAGATACTGAAACATAATACCACACGAGATAATTCCTACTAATAAACCATGTCTCTGTCTATGGGATTACCTCTCAAGGCTCCAGTTTCTAAGTGTAACTGACTGTATTTAAGAACTTTCTGCTGCAGCAGCAGATAGTTAAGGAAATTCCTCTGTTTCACTACTTTAAAACTTAAAATATCTGTATTTCAGTTTTACACACACAAGTATTTTTGAACTAATTGTTCAGTACAGAGAAGGCTGAAAATCCAGATTTAGGCAGGACAATACAAAAGGTCTGTAATACAAACAAGCACAGGTTCATCATCAACCAAACCAAAATCTGTAAGGTGCAGAGAATTCCACTTTAAGAACACAAACTGAGAAGTGTTCATTAGCTCTCATTCAGGTCAGTGGACTTCCTAAGGATATGCTTGAAGTGGGATGGAAAAGAGAACACATTGAAATCCTCGGGAAAAGCAACACCCTACAGACCCAAATGGCCCCCCTATATATTGTACAGATGTTTTGAGTTTGAGTACATAGCAGATCTCTAGGGAGGCAGATCCTCTAGTTCAAGCCTACAGTGGTGGTGATCCCATGGAGCACCCTGTCTGCACGTGATGAGATTTTCATGCCACCCATGCAAGCAGGCAAACAGAAGCTCATTTGTCAATTAGTCTAGTTTGTATAAAAGAAAACTCCAGAATCATAGGGTCTCTGCAGCCTCCACTCTGTGAATACATTCACCTCCTGCAACTCACAGGCTAACACAAAATGAAGGAAATAAGGTTTTGTGGTCCTATCATTAAAATATTGGCAACTGTAGCCACAGATAGCATACTTGAGGGAATTAATCACTCATTCCCCCCTCCAAGGGGCCTAGTCAAATAGCTACCATCAGTGTCATAGAAGCCAAGCCAAATCAAAACAAACCCCTGTGCCAGTGGCATGTCAGTGTTTGGATCCTCATCAGGAACGCCAGTGCCTTCTGGAAATACAAACGTCATGACTCGAATCTGTGATTTATTTTCAGCTTCCAGAAGAAATGTAATAACTGAGATCTATGCAGAAGGTTCCTGCGCTACCTCCCTGCTCCAAACCACTGAAAGCTTCACAAAGCCATATCTTTCAGCTGGCATCAACTGGTGTAGCTACCGATTTCAAATGCACTAAGCTGATTTATGCCAGCTGTGAGGTGGCCCCTATAAATTAACAGATACCTATGAGCTGATCAGAAGTCTAATACCTGTGTACAGATTATGCCATACTATTTCACAATATTAGAGGTAATTCCTTGAGTTGCTAGTTTGCTTCTAAGTTCTTTGAGGAGTGATTAATTCACCCAAGTGACCATGGTAAGTAAAGTTTTCTAGCAGATAGCAACACTGACAGTTCCTTTGAGTAAAACAAAGGCTAAAGTTGTTCCCAGTTTTTGCTGCAAATTACACAAGTGACAGCAAATGAGTGGACATCACTTAAAATGCTTGAAGATCTGAGAGTGATTTACCTTTTGCTTGTATTACATAACACATAAATGTCTGTTTTCACTTTTGGAAAAGACTTCTGACATTTGACTGAGTACATTTAGGACCCCACAGTTCCCACTGCTGGAGGTCTCTGATTCTTGAATACCAGAATACATTACTTTGAGCTCCAGCTTGGCATCTTCCATAGGTAGATGACATTACAGTAACCCTGTAAGCTCAGAGAATATGGCCTTTAAATCTGGTAAGTGGAAGAAAAATCAACTAATCTGTCAATGCCTTGGTACAAAGAGTGGGGAAGTCCAGCATTCCTTTGCTACAAGAAATTGTGCTTCAGATTGTCACCAACAGTACATCACAAAGTGAGATTAAGTAATTATGAACTGACTAGGACTTGAACACATGCCCTCTCACCTAAGGAAAGGATAACAAAACATTTATAGCACCAGCCCATGCACATGAATAAAGATATCCCTGAGTAAGTACCTATGAAGTGATTTAGCCTCTGTCAGAGAAGCCAAATGCCCAGGAAATCCTTCACGCATTTATTTGCCATATTGCACCCAGCTGTTAGTACAGGTTCTTGTATTACAAATGAAGCACAGAGAGGCTTAAGTCCAGATTCTGTAAGCTATTTAGTCACCTTATCTCAGTTCAGTTGCATCTCTCAGGGTCTGCCTACATGATTTCACTGGGTTATTCATCATGCTTGCTCTAGAAACAGTGTTTCTGTCATAGCTGACAAAATCTAAACAATTCCAGTCTTACATTTAGTCACTGGCCACCTGCCCATCTGAGAAATGGCATTTATAGAAGACTATAACAAAAATCACACCCTCTTACAAATGTTAACTGAGGGCCACTGCTTGCTCCTAACTTCACTTTGCTTTGGAAAGCAGAGGAAAGCATTTTCCTACAGCTCTACAGCACCCTCTATTGTTTTCTTTTTCTAATCAAAATTTGCATTGCTGTGGCACTAAAAAAAGAATACATGCAGTCTTTTCCTAAAGCAGCATAAAAATAAGGATCAGTAATATAGTACGGTGCAACCAGAAGGCAGGGAAAGCAAAAGGTTATAGGTAAGTTTCTATATCAGTTCACTGATCACACAAAAATGCTTCCTTGAAGGCAGAGAGATTTTAGCTACTCGCTTCAGCAAAGAGTTGAGCCTAACAATGCAGAAGCTTTGTCTAGTAAGACCTGAGTGGTGGCTACAGAATTTAACCTTATAAACGTAAACTGGAAACCATAATACACATTATACTAGGGCAACTATAAACAATGTGAAATAGGTCTGAAGGTTCATTAAGTGTTCTCAGATGATGAATTTGTAAGATGTGGTTTGGGTAGTTACACAAGGTGCCAAATGGATTCAGTCTGTCAGTTATTCAGCCACTACACGGCTACACATTATTATCACTTGTTATAAACTTCAAGTGGTGGTGGTGAACCAAAAAGCCTAACACACAAAACACACACTCAAAGCAAGATTTAACTTTGAGTTGGACAGAGTCCATTTGCATGTGAAGAAATACAATTGATCTGAAGATCTTCTAGGAATTCTTTGTTCCCTGAAACTACTTAAGAACAATTTCCATGACTGCCTCTTGAAATGCTTGTTTCAGCTGAACTCACAAACTTGTTCTCTGAATTAACTCTTCTTGCCTCCTAAGTGATGAATATAACCCAGTACTGAAGTGGCATGCGTAAATTTGCATAGGTCAAATGCAGAGCTTCGTAAAGTTTCATAGAAGATACAGAGAGTCAAAAATCAAATCCAAGAGTCATGGAGGGCCTGAACTCTTTAACAACTGCTGTGGCTCAATACAAAGATATAAAAATTGTTCAGAGCCAGGCAGAGTTAAATGTGGCGGTGAATTTAGAAACAAGTACATCTGAAAAACCAGGAGCAAGTCAAAAGCCATGTAACACATATCTAACTTCCTCCTGGGTTTTCTCAACAGGGCAGAAGACTTGCCAGGGACTTGCTTGTGTAAGGCTTATGCCAGAACAAGACAGATGGGATTGGATGTGAGGGATGGAGAGCATCTTCTGGTCCCTGGGACAGATGGTTGGTCAGGGCCAACATCTTGTCTATATCCCCTATCTTATAGTTAGAATTCACCCTTCGACATTTCAAGTTTCTTTTCTTGTTATCTAGACCTGACAGAATCTTGGGTGTTCCAAATCAGAGGAAATCTGATTAAATGGAAGTACCGCTAAATGTGAGACCGCAGCAGATACTGCAGCATTGGAACTTAAAAGTCAGTTACACCAGGAGTAAGATAACATGTGAAATGTCCAAAGAAATAACCTGCTGTGTTAACCCCGTGGTGCCAGAATGAAACAACCAGTAAAGAAAGTTATTATTTTTCATTACTAACTCAGCAGCTGGTGGTTGGTTCAGGGAATTCTATGCTCTCAGCCCCTTCCAAGCTCCTCTAAGACATACTTTAAAAACAGGATGAAAGGAATACAAGATAGCAGAGGTTGGTAGTATGTAAAAATGGGCAATTAACAATTACATGTAAAGATTCCTTGAAAACCAAAGCCCTAAGAAGGAAATCAATACGGTGTCTGACACAAAATGGATAGGATATCTTAGGCAATATGTAATGAGTAGTGAAGGATTTTCACTAGCTTTCAGAAGATCAACAGATCAATATTACAAGCTTCTGTAAAAACCTGGCTTTGTGCTCCATAAGTAACTTTGTTTGCACTGCACCCAGATTAACTATTTCAATGAATGTTTCTGGAAAATACTGTGATTTAAATATACATCAATGGCAATCACACTGCCCTGAAATCAATCCAAAGAATTAAAGTCAACCCAGCAAATCTACTGCAAAAAAAAGAAGCAAAACTATCACTTTCAGCAATATAAGCTGAATATAACTTCAGCATTTCTTCTATTTGCCTCCTGTTTGGAGTGTTAACTTCCTGTGTGATGCTTTACGGTGTCCAAGTGCTTTTTTATTTTACTTACAAGCCAGCACTTCCATGCAAAATGGATGAAGAGGACAGGAGAGCTAAAATGCTATAAAAGAACTGATTGATCAGAAGGACCAGAATTACATGCATGGATAACATGTGAACAGAACAACAGAAAAATGCAGCACTGTTCCCTTAGGAAGCGGAACCAAAATACACCAGTTCGATATAAGAAGTTGTCAGTTTAAAATGACTTACAAAGCAAAAGCTCTCAGCTGCATAGGTATTCATGTAACAGGTGTTGGATTAAAGTTAAGGCGCAAACTTCCAGTAAACATATAAAAAGTACACACACAACCTCGTGCGCTACATACTTATGTTCAGGAGCAACTAGTCCAAAAGTACGTATCAGCAAGAGGTCAGAAATATCACCTTCAGCAACAGAGTAAGTAGTCTTGTACTGTATCCTGCTCAGCAAAATTAAGGTAGCGCAGGCATACAAGTGGCTTCAATAAATAACAATCCAGGAACAAGGCTGTGCCCTGGCCCACCTACAACATAGTTTAAAAGAGTACAGGATACCACAACCCAAGCTGAAACAGCATCTGTGCGCCCATGGACAGGGTGGATAGGGGTCCCTGGTGAGGCTGCTTAGGGCCTCCAAGACCCCATACTGCTCTCAGGACTCTTCACAGTTGGATTCACAGATGCCAGCACATTTAGAACTCAGTATTATTTTCCATCTGATCAGCATGTACACATCAACAGGACTGCAGGGCTGAGCTGCATCCTTGTGTGTTAGGTGGGAAGGGTAAGAAAGCCCTGGGGCTGGAGAGATTTCACCTCTGTTGGTGTGTTTAGTGTCCTCCCCTCCAGAACATCAAATGGATCTTTCACTGCATACTCCTGACCTGTACCAGCATTACTGCCCCTTGTGGTGTTTGTTTGGGATTCTGGGGGGTTTTGGGTTGTTTTTGTTGTTTTTTTTTGTTTTTTTAATAAAAGATAAATGTTCTCACAATTATAACTTTTATATTATAAGGAGATACCAATCTGTCACTGTCCTGCTCCACAGAAATATGACAGTTTAACTTGGAGCTGTATTGCTGGATACACTCAGCAGCAGCTCCAGAGGCTAAGTCTTCATGCTTGTGAAAGTATCCCCCTACATCTCAAAGCATCCCAGAAGCACATGCAACTTTCAGCTTTGCTGCCCATAACGCTCAGATATGACAGTTCCCCAATGCTGTATCTTTCATAGCAAGTAACTCTTCACAGAAATGGCCTTCTGGATGAGATGTTTTGAATAATTTCATAAATAAGGAAATTATGTCCACCTAATGGCTGTATCTAACAGCATATCACATGAGAGTACTCCAGCAGCTCATGAAAGTTTTCAGACTTGAAGGAAAAGGCCTCAGGTTGGAAAATTACCGAGATTCCAAACTATTCAGGTAAGTGCTGGAATGAAATACTGAAGCGAAACATCCTCATGAAGCAAGATGAAGTGGACAATTCTTTTACTTACAATATCTGTAAAGAGAAAAAGCCACCACAAATCCAGTTTAAAGCAGGAAAAATATGTTATGTCTTCTACACAATGCCATCATCAGAATACAATGCTTTACCACTTCCGATAGCAGGATGACAAGACATATCATCCTGTAATATTTAAGTCCTCAAGGGTCTACAAAGCATTACCAAAGAGTCTATGAAAGTTGATACCAAAAAGGAAATACGTAATGTATAGGCCTATAATGCTACACCCATGACTTACAGCTTCCTCAGGAAGTTCTCAGTATCTGCATTAAAGCATAACTCACAGATGTTCTCAGGAAAAGCATGCAAAGTTATCAAAATCAAATACAAAACCTTGCTAGAAACTGGGGGCTTTAAGAAACATTAGAAGTCCTCAGGTATAGTAAAACCAGTCAAGTTTCAAACAGACAAAACAGAAGATCTGCTGTTCTGCTGAGACAAATACAGCAAACATCCGTCCTTTACTGGAGTTACCAAGCAGAGCTGCTGAACTTACTGCACAATGCTTTTGTGGGGTTGACCTGCTGTCCAGCAAGCAGCTGCTGCAGCTTCCTGATGTCTATGCGAGCCTCAGCCATGCTTTCTGGATCTCTGTCTTGAGAACTTTGACATCCATCCTCTAATGCTAAAAGCATAAGAACACAACACTTGGTCATAACATCAGGAGTTGCAAAACATACAGGAACACACCTGATAATAACTGAACAGCTGGTACCCAAAGGGGCTGTTTTCAGAAACAGCAGTACAAGGAAGAGAAAGCCCAGTTTTCCTACAAAGTTGTCAAGGATACCAGAATTCTCTCACTAACATGAACTAGCCATTAGCCACATTTTAAGGTTTCATTTGAAAAAAATCTCAATATATTTGATGCTATTTTGTAAGGACTATCAGAAGGTAAGTACCATTATCAGCATCACACTGAAATCAGACAGCCACAAGAGGCAACAAAACTGGAAACTTACCCCAGGAAGGATTTCCCAAGTCTTTAAAATGTGTTGTTACACAAACTAAGTCAGTTTCTATTTTCAAGTTCATTTCTCCACTCAAGTTTGCTTCAATCATCTGCAATACAATCAATCTCAGTTTTAGGCAAGCCTCTTTCACACTGAAGAATTACAGAAGAATAAAGCACAGCTTTGTTCAAGTACAAGCTGCCAGACACATTTCAGTGCCTTCACAGCTCAACCCTACTTTCTGAAGATGAACACTGGAAAGTTCAGGTACAAAAAGCATTTCTCATCACTCCTGTGAGATGAATCCTAGATCAACCTCCCTGAAATTATGAAAAGAAAGAAATGCCACTGCTCTCCAGTACCTCTAGAACAAGCACTAGTTTTGGGAAGCTGATGTGTTGATGTGTTTAGAAATAAGAGACAGAAGCTAGAGAAATGCAAGGTTTCCTGCATTTGCACCAGCACTCCATAAAGCCAGGGTGGACTGGAAAGCCACCATATCAGAGTTTGGAGTACAGGCTGACAACCAGGAGCGCTCCATAGCATTTCCTTTAAATCCTACCTCAAGTCTACCTTAATTCCAGCCACAAGACTCACTTAATGGGCATTTCTTTCATGAAATCACTTCAGAAGTCTCTAGGTGGCTTCCTCAACAACCACAATTTCCTACTAGCTATGAAGAGTGGCTTGTAGCAACACAATTCTTTCAAGGATTCAGTTTAAAGAGGGAAAGCTTCCAGGAAGCCCAGGACAAGCTCTTCAGTGCTAATCCTAAAACAAATCCCACGATTCTCTTCAACCCCTACAGAGTCTTCAGATGCCTTTAGTGCAATGTCTTATCCCAAAATAAGATGTAACATGGGGGACCAGTTTGGGCAACAGGGAAACATGCTATGTCCAGGAAAAAATAAGGTCTGTAGGACACACATCTCAAGTGCTTTAACTTACAACGTAATTGCTGAGATTCCTCATTCTCTCCACAACACTCTTCATTATTTTCAGCACTGGTAGGTAAATACTGACCTAAAAAGATGTAAGAACTGCATTGGCTCAAGTATTTCATGTGTAACTGGGATGTGATGCATTTATTTCTCCCTTCAATCCTATCTTATTTTGGGATCTGTTGTCTACTGAGTGCGGGAAGCACAATATTTAACTGAAATCAGCAAAGGTCTCAGGAACAGAGGAACTCTGTCCCATTATACCAACAGGCCACTGCTCTGGCAATCGCTTCAGACATACAATCCCATCTGTGTTCAAAATAAATGAGAAACGGGTTTTTGCAGATCAGATTCTCACTTGAACCCACATCTGTGTTACTGAGCAGTGAAATAGTTACTATAGCCAAAAGGGGAAGAACACAGTCCCCATGGTACTGTAAATCATTTCTGGAACTGCATCAGTGGAAAGCTGAAATAACAGAACAAAACACATCAAGTTTCTACTAAATCTTATGTCTTCAGAATTTAAATGCTCTCAACTATAGAAGTAACACATTCATAATCTCAAACAGGAGCACATCTGCACAAAGTCCTTTCCTTGAAAGTATGCTAAAAGTCAAAAAGGATATTAAAAGATATATAAAAATCAGGAGGAAACACATATAGATCTAACTCTGCCAGGTAGGCCATGAATTTCAGAAAGAACAGATTATTTAGGCCACCTGGTACCTAAACAGCCAAAATGGTCAAAACCTGTGTGCTTTGGAAGTGCTCCTACCTAAAGCAATGCAAGTCCTCTGCTCCTCCCTTCCTTCACCCTGAGTATCACAGCAATGACTGGTAATGATCTGCTCTGTTTCTACAGGTTCTGGAGACTCCCTTGTCAAGATGGAACCCATGTCCCACCACTCTCCAAACCTCTAGCTTCCAGCCTTCACTCTTTCCTTTCACCTTCTCTCCAAACCTCACTGGTAGTATAGACCACAGCAACAGCATTCCACTTGCAACCTCCCCTTTCCATAGGGAATATAAAACAAGATGCTTACATCAAAGTCTGGCACACTGGGCTCTCTGAAGTCATTCCATAATCTTCTGGGAATAACCCCCACAGGAATGTCATGTGTCACAATCCTACTGCTGCTTGATAAGGATGGCTTGAGAGAAGAGAGAGGATGCTCTTGCAGTTAAAAACAAGACTGGAATTCTAAATTCAAACTTTTCAGAGCCACTCTGGGAAATACTATAACTGAGTGCAAAAGACATTCAGTTCCAGTTTTCCATAGGTTCCTATCAGTCTGCTATTAAGGACAATCAAAAGCAAAACAGAGCCAAAAACTACACCGAAACCTCCTTCACCTAATGGCTTCAGTGAGAAAGCAATAATCCACACATTTAGAGAATGAAGGAATGGGGGAAAGTAGACATTGGGAAAAGGTGTTTAAAGCACATATCTTTCATTCTTCTACCACCTCTTCCTTGCCTTTTGGACAACACAAACCTGGCTCCGTGTGCTACCACTCATGATGGCAGGAAAGGGTAATGGAAAATGGCGTTTTTCTTCCTTTATTTTTCTAGAATTACACAAAAGCTTCTATTTTATCTTAGGAAAAGCACTTAATTTCTAAAAGCTTTTTCTTAGTAATGAAGATAAAAGCATGGTTGCACTTACCAGCTCTACAGCAACTCTGAGACAGGGACAGTGTTTGTTAGTCAACTTCATCTTCACTGCCTTAGCATTGTGGGCAGTTTTCAATGCTCTTGACAGGTTCTCAGGCATCAGCTCTAAATAGATCTCATTGTGCTCTGCAGCCACTCCTTCCATCTGAAATTCATCGAAGAAATTCCCCTACAGGTTTTTAAGTTGGGAAATAAAACACAGCAAATGAAAATATGACAGACGGGTAAGTTTTAGCTATCAGAACTCAAGTTTAGTATGGCGTGTGTACAACAGGAAGCTCTCCTGTGCCTGGCATCACCTGCAAGAGTCAAGACAGGCTGCACAGGCACAAAAGCCCCTTGCTTCAGGCTAAATGTATTGGTTTCAGATCCTCCCTTAACAACTACCAGCCCTCAAAACCAGGGGCGTAAGAGGTGAGTTACAGTCTCCTGTTGCCAGCTTTGGCCCTTGTGGGCCAGCCCACACCAAAGCTTTACAAGAAGTGACAACCAAAGGGGATGTCCAGCCAGAAACATGAGGTCTGTGTAACCAAAAGGCACTCCTGCAAGGCAGAACGCCTTCAGTGAACAAGGCCACCCAGGACTGAGGCCTGGCGCATCTCAGGTGAGGGCTGCACATACAATAAACCACCGTGTACACCAGACATGACTGCCCGCTCTGGTCTTCAATGCTGTGTGACTGTTGAGCGTCCCGGGCTTACCTGGTTCAGCTCACACCACATACCAACACCTCCATTGGCTACTTTATCAGAGAGGATGAAGTACAGCTTGCTGACAGTCAGGCGCAGGGTGCAGGTCTTGGCTAACTTGGCGATTGTGTTAATTACACCTGGCGGAGGAAGGGGAATGTTACAGCGGGAACCGCTCCCCACTCATCCCAGGGAGAGCTCGGTCTCCACAAACGCAGCTGCGGAAGCTCTTAAAATACTTCAGGGCGAAGAGAACCTGCGGCTGCCTCATGGCAGTGCTCAAGGCCAGGCTGGAGCAACCTGCTCTAGTGGAAGGTGTCCCTGCCCACGGCAGGGGGTTGGAACTGGATGAGCTTTAAGGTCCTTTCCAACCCAAACCAGCCTGGGACTCCATGAAAAGCGCCCCACGCTGCCTCCCCCTCACAGCCGGTGAAGGTGCCTGGGCCTCACGGCGCGGGCTGGGGCTACCCCGCGTACCGCGCTTCCCTTTCCTCGGTACAGAAGGTCCCGCCCGCCCGCCCTGCCGTCCCCCTGCCCGGGCGCACTCACGGCTGAAGTGGTTGAGGCAGGCGAGATCCACGATCTTAGCACGGAAGCGCATGGCGGCCCCCAGCCCTCCGCGCAGCACCGCCCGCCGCCGGCGCACGGCCGAGGGCGGAGTCTGTCAGGAAAAGGGCGGGCAGGGCCAGGCCCAGCCCCGCAGCCCGGCGGGGTAACGGGCCCAAAAGGGAGCGTTGGGCAGGGGAGAAGCAGCAATCGTGTGAGAAAGGAGGGAGAGCAGAGCTCTGGAACACGCGTTTCCTCTTTCCCATCCCAGCAGAGCAATCAAAACACCTGAAGTGCGTTGAGAAAGGACCTGCCCTGCAGGCAGGCTGCCTTTGCCCTGTGCTGTTTCAGTGCCTGGTACGCAGGGCTCTGCGGAGACAGGGATCGCCTACAAAGGAAAACCTTGCTTTACCTGTCCTCTCCATGTGCTGGGTAACTTTCCGACAAGAGACTTGGTCCCTTGCCTCTGTGGTGCTCTTAAGGACTGCAAGGAGCTAAATACTTTTGTCCTCTTGGGTTCCTCAGCGTGCTTTTGTCACACTGCCTTGCCTTTGATGTTTAAACACTCTAGGGATGCTGCTCACAGTGCCGATGCTGCGTGTTGACACAGTCATTACGAAGGAAATTAAAGAACAAAAGAAACAACAGTGTGTCTACATACCACCACACAGAGGGATAGGGCTGGAGAGGTTATCCTCTAGCTGCGCTGCTCCCAGGCCCTAGGCACATCGCAGACAGCAGCTGAAGACTGGCATAGAGAAACCACTCCAGTGTCATGGGCAGCTCATTCAGTGAAATGAGCTCACAGGTACCTTCCTCCTGCCCCTAAAACAGTATGTTTATAATCCAGAAACAGGAGTTCGTTCTGGGCAGTTTAAAAAGGCCAACGGGAACACAATGGTGTTTGCTTCTTTTATTACGAAAGGTACAAAACCACAGGGTGTAGTGAAGCGATCGTTAGAAATGTGAACTTTTGTTGAGCCAACTTTCTATTTACATACACAAAATTCCCCAAGTGGAACAATATCAAATGTGAGACACATTATCAGAATACCATATATACAGGTTCAGAGATTTAGTATCTCTGTTACTCTATACATGATTGTTACACAACAAGTCAATTCCTATCTTTCTTACACAAGTATTTTAAATTAAGCTTATGAGGCTACTCAAGCAAAACAAAGCAGAATCTGGGCAAAGTTCTGCTATCAGTTACTTTATAAATATAATACAAAATGACAGAGCCAGGTTTTCAGCCAGGCTCAATCTTCTGTTGCGTCAAATATCCCATGCTCCAAACTGATGGAAATAAAATAGTAAACTATTAGTAATCGTTATTGATATCAAACCAGATGTATCTCAGGAGCGGGAGACACACTGGTTCTCAGATTACTGATCAGTTATTAGGAAAAGCAAGTGTTTTTACCTATTTTTTTGTACACCCCTCAAACAGAAAACCCAAATAAAATACTTGAGTTTGCTTTGTGTGATCAGACATTCTGTTAAAACAATCATAATAAGAAAGGACCACAGCACATATTGTTTTTAACTGGGACCAACTACTTAGTAAAATAAGGCACTTCTTCCTTTAATTCAGTCCGCTTCCCTAGACTTTAGTTTAGCTCCATTTTACACAGAGAAGTGATTTTAGCTATGCTACTCGTGACAGCAAAAGGGATGTTGTTAAGAACTGTTGCTCTCCAAGCGTGGATGGCCTCAACAATACCTTCTGGGTTGCTTGAAGCCAAGTCACACAGTGAATATATGGCTGCCAGCTGCACACCCCAGGGAACACCTGCAAAAAGTTAACACAAATGAAGTTTATAGAAACTTTGATATGCAATTAATGTTCCTGGGAAACGTGAACCTATAGATGAGTTCAAGAACTGGAATTAAAACACATCAACAATTGGGATGCTTAAATCCAGAAAGCAGCAAGATGACAACCTGCACACAAATTCCTTAACACCTCATTTCATACTAGCAATTTCCAGTTTTCTGAATTCAGCAGGTTTTCAGTATTCAAAGGGCATAACAGATGCTCACATCTAGTGATTTTACTCTAGTTAAGGGTGATCAACTTTTATGAAAAGTCAGATTTACACAGTGTGAAACAGACATTTACCACTTGGAAGAACCTGAGATTGCAAAGAAGAAAAGCTATACAAGTGGTTCAAAACAACTCCCTAACATCAACCACTGCTTCACTGCAAAATGTGCTTAACCTCTGGAATAATTTAGCAATATAGATCTCTGCTGCCCTAATTGCCCTGCTTTGTCTCACTCAGGAATTCTGACTCTCTTGTTATCATCTCTCAACACAACAATCTTGCTAAGAGCAAGCTTCTGCATGAGCTGCTCAGGTAACAAATTTGATAACTCTTCAAGTTCTCTGAGGCAGTTTATATGCTGTTACATGAAGCAGTGTAATTCCAAGGTGGTTGAAACTATGTCAGATTTGTTCATGGTGTTAAACAAAAGGCAACATGTTTCATTATGAGCATACATGTTTCATTAACTTCAGAAGAGAAAGGGATTCAAACTGAGAGCTGTTTGTCCTGTTACGCACTAACATACAACTGCACAAGCAAGCTGCTTTGGCATTCGTGTCTCAATCTCTGTGTGTCCTTGTTTACACTGGCAAAGCTTCACACTGCAGATGTTACACTGAAGTTCTGCTAAATAAACATTACCTTCCTCTTTTGCCTGCTGTACAAACAGTCCAATTACAGAACTAATATTCTTCACTGCAGCAAGATATCCTTCCTTCAAACCTATCTGGCCCAATCGACCTGAAAGAAAAAAGAAAGGTTACTATGTGCCTGATATTCAGTCAACCTCCTAATTTTTAGATTGATGGATTGTTGAAGTATCAACAGAAAATTCAAATTTCAATGACAAAAATTATTCACTCCTGTTACCATGGTGTCTTGGGAACAACAGCTGTCCTGTTCCTTTTGTGACTAAAGACCCCAAGGCATTTTCCATCAGCTTGAACTCCTACAGGTTTACAATTTGTAAGTGTAAAACTCAAGGAATGCAGTTTCTCTTTGACAAACAATATTATATAGCCTATATACAGCAAACACCTATTGCAGCCCAAAGTTTATCTATTTACCTGAATGCCATCTAGATCCCAAATAAATGAATCTTACAATTGCAAGAAGACATATTATGTTGCAAACAAACCCTTATTTTATACACTTTGCTATAAAGCATATGTAGTTACAATTTCATTTTAAAAACATAGAACATATTGGTATTTGTTATTTTGTAGTGAAAGTAACATCAGAGAAACTTAAGTACCTGCTTTGCACAGGCTGACAAACAGAAAATATCTGCATGGGATTGTAAACTGTTTTTAAGGTGAAAATTGTTGAAAAATGTGAAAAAAAAAATTAAAATCAAGATAAAAAAAAAAGTCCAAATACTTCAATTCACTTTTGAGGCAGGCTGACACTTGCAAAAGACATACTTGCACAAAGCAAATGTGCAACCAAGAATTTAGATTACTTACCAATTAGCCTGAGGATCAGTGCTGTAACACTGTCAGAAATGGACTGAGCGGTTTCAGGCCCCTTTCTCTTCTTTATCCATTTATCCATAGAAGGCCAAAGCACTTTGCTGTGAAAGGTAAGTGAATCTGGTAATCTGACACTGCATGAAGGGGCAGCACAATATTCATAGAATTATAGAATAGTTAGGGTTGGAAAGGACCTTAAGATCACCTAGTTCCAACCCCCCTGCCATGGGCAGGGACACCTCACGCTAAATCATGTCACCCTAGGCCTCGTCCAACCTGGTCTTGAACACTGCCAGGGATAGAGCATTCACAACCTCCCTGGGCAACCCATTCCAGTGCCTCACCACCCTAACAGGAAAGAATTTCCTCCTTATATCCAATCTAAACTTCCCCTGTTTAAGTTTGAACCCATTACCCCTTGTCCTATCACTACAGTCCCTAATGAAGAGTCCCTCCCCAGCATCCCTATATTCATACAATAATGAATGCAAATGGTTCTTCTGTTTACCATCTATTTCCAAAGCTCCAGTTGCATTTTTAATTCATATTCTTGGGGAATTCAAAATGTTCCAAGTATCCACAAATATGAGTTATTTAAAGGTTTTAAACCCAAAGAATCAAAGCTAACTTTCTGAGGGAATCATTCCTGTACTGAATTGCATTCCTGTTCATCTTGTATTCATTTCCCTGCAACACTTGCATCACTACCTCAAGTCAAGAACTTACTCTATTGACTTCATATATGTATCTGAAGTTGCGTTACTTTCAATCGTTATGCTAAGATCTCATGCGAGCTTTCTGTAGGACTGAAAATTCACAGTTCGCATGTTACAGGTAGGATCTGATGCTTGTTTTTAAACCTGAAAGGACCTGAGAGAAGGCTTTTCTAATCCTCCAAATGATGCTAATAGACCTAGTTACCTATTACCAGCCCAGCTCCACACAATCAACTCTGTATGGCTTTAGTTAAACTGCAATACCTTTCACTGAAGCGAATTTGTATTCATTTTAAAAGTCTCTCAGTAAAAATAACTTCTTTACTACTTGAAAGCATAGAACGTGTATAAAAAACTTGATGATTGTGAGCTATTTACATTTCCTTTAAACTCAGTGATTATATTATGCTATAATTAAACAAATGCCGTATCTCTGGAGATTCTGCTGGGTTGTGGAACCTTTACATGGAAAACAAGGGGCTGTCAGATCAGTGTAGGTATAAAAATGAAGTGTTTCAAACCAAGTTAAGTATGGTGGCAGTCCATGCACTGCATTACAGGATTCAAAGAATATTGAAGACATTGAATCTAAGCATGACAAGGATTTTAGAATTAAAATGAGACTGAAATCAGGATAGTATGCTAATGGCTATGGTTACATTTCATGTAACACATGCAAAGTTCCACCCTCATTTTCTTGGGGGGGGGGGGGGGGGGGGGGAAGAGAATTCAACCATTAAGTTCAGAGGAAGACAGTCAATCATTTTATTTCGTTGACAAAAAAATCCACCTCAGAATCTTTCCCAATTGTCCACTGGTAGCTATTTTAGAAACAATTCTTAATATTCAAATGGTTCAAACAGGGTTAATTTCTTGTACCAATACCATTTCTTCATTGATCACTCGTTCCAT